TGAGCAATCAAATAAGCCTTGTGAGAAGGAGAAGGTAGGAAAAATTTCAATGAGAAAGATTTCAATGTTGTATCCAACAGGGATAACAGGGTTTTTAAAATCAAGTGCATCGGGTTGTGGGATTATGGACATTGGGGAGGGTATGTGCTATGGTGAGTGCTGTGAAGTGTGTACAGACCTGTACCCCTGGGACTAATAATACATTATATGTTTATAAACAAATTAAAAAATTATTTAAAAAAATCAAATGCGTCACTCCCCTTGGTTTAATTTAATTGAACTCCCCTATCATGCTTTTCACATCCAGTCATGTGTGTGATATGGAGAAAGGTCTGGTGGAGTGTTATCACCAACATTTATCATTCTAGAAGTTAAAACTGGGAAACATTTTAGTTGTCAGTCCATTTTAAAACAATAAACCCCTATATGCTACCATAAATAATAATCATTATGCAAAATAACTTGTCTTCTCAAAAAAATTAGTGTGCAGAGTACCATGATTTTACATATTTGCGAAAATTTTCAGCAATCTGGCTTATTAGAAGACAGATGGAATCTCATATCTGCTTCTGCATTATAATTGTGCCTGTCATATTACACATCGAGTAACCCCTGGACTCCACTGTAGCCTCAAAAAATAAGAGGGAAAAAAATTCTACTTTTACCATTTTTATGAAAATACTTTTGGCCATACAGACCACAAGATCACACTCTGAGAACAGCTAATCTGTAACATCCCTAGAGCTCTCCTCTCCTTATAAGCCGTTTACCTGTTGCCTCTAAGAAAACGCCATCACAGCTGGAATTGTGCCAATTGCAATGACTTGTCACAATTGCAAAGAAAGTTCTTAACTGAAGTTATTGAGACAAAGAATGGTTTCTTAATTATATAAGTTCTTTGGATGTAAAAATTCCACATCCTCCCTTCAAAGACCAATTTAATGATCCTCACAGCTGAGTATTACCTTAGTCAAGTCAGGTAACCTTTGTTAAACCTTCCTGGAGATATTTTGGCTGCACTAACTCTACATAGGTACACTAAAAATGAAGCAATGCATAATGAAAAATACTGTCAATTATCAATACTAAATAAATGTTCTTATATATTTTCCACAGCAGCTCTTGCTACACATTTAACATCTGAAATAGTGTGGCCTTTTTTTTTTTTTTTTTTAATTTTCTTACTTATGAAAAACTAAACCGAACTAGTACATTCTCTGTTTTACTCCTGCTTCCATCTTTTATCTCTGGTTTATCTTGCTACGATTTTGGCTCATTATCTCTCATTATCTTGTGCTCCAAAAAACTTATCTAACTTATTATCTCAGTAACCAAGGGAAAATTGGCCCTTCTTGTTCCTGAAGCAAACTTTAAGACAAAATTCATAGACCTAAAAAGGACCTTAATGATCATCTAGTTCAGCAGTTCTCAATCTTTCCTGTATATGAGACTCACCATTGCTTAGAAAATTAAAGGGAGAAAAAAATAATACCAGAGTCCCACTCCAGACTAAAATCCAAATCTTTGGTGTGGACCCAGGCTTTGGAATTTTTTTAAGGTCCATCAGAAGATTCATTAGAATGTAGTCAGACTTGAAAAACTATGATATAGTCCAACTATTCACTTTACAGTTGGGGGGCAACAATGGCCAAAAGGGGAAGAATGCTTATTAATAGAATCACCAGGATAGAACTAGGATTTGAACACCACCTTCTGGCCAAGCAACATGACCAAGATTTTTCTATTAATTCCCTTAATTCAGAATTCTCAAAACACAAAGTTTATTCTCCTTCCCTTGCATAAAAGTCATCTTTCAGATAATTTTATTTATGTTCCATAAACAATTAAATAGATGCACCCATTTTTTAAAGATTTTATTTGTTTGAGAGCATGAGTTGGGGAAGTGGCAGAGGGAGAGGGAGAGGGACAAGCAAATTTCTCACTGAACACGGAGCCTGACGTGGGGCTCCATCCCAGGACCCTAAGATCATGACCTGAGCTGAAATAAGATGCTTAAATGACCGAACCAACCAGGTGCCCTGAAGTGCACCATTTTAAGTTTAAAGTTTGGCAAGTTAGACAAGTATGTACACTCATGTTACTACTTCCCCAATCTAGATATAGAACGTTTCCATCACCCCAGAAAGTTTCCCCTCACCTCCTCCCCATCAGCAATCTTCATCTCAGACCCCAGGTGACAATCACTCTGACTTCTGTCACTACTGATTAATTTTTCCTGTTTTAGAACCTCATATAAGCTAAATTACACAGTATGTGTTCTTTGACTCAACATAATTTTTAAAAAATTCAATCATGCTGTATTCACAGTTTGTTCCATTTCATTGATGAGTAGAATTTCACCAATATATGGATATTCCAGCTTATCCACTGGGTTGTCTCCAGTTTGAAACTAATACAAATAAAGCTGCAATACACATTTGTCTACAAGTCTTTGGGAGGGCATACATTTTTATTTATCTTGAGCTAATATATACAGGAGTGGAAATACTGGGCCCAGGGTGGCCTGGGAGGCAGGATGTATAGAAGAAAGAGTTCCAGGCCTTCAATCAGCCAGAGGTGGTTCTGCATACAAGTGGGGCTGTTTATTAACATGGAGATCAAAATACTTCACAGTCATGTCAAAAAGATTGCAGAAAGTGTATACGGAGTAGCTGGTAAATATAGATGTGTAATAAAGGATAACAGAAATGACTAGAGATGGCACTAGGTTGGGCTGGAACAAGATTCCGGAATTTCTCTGTGATATGCTCTTCCACTGCTGCATACTGTTCACCTTCCCTCAACCCTCATCCTGTCAAAGGCTCCCCCTCCCCCTACACAACCCCAACACCCTCTCCTGTATTTGAAGATGAGGCTATAAAATATGAACTACCTTCCAAAACAATTTAGAAGTGTTCTTTGGCTTTCTGTTCACAAAGAATGAACAAAGAAAGAATTGAGAATGAAAAAATTATCATTCTAATAATTTGTAGTTCTCTTTGACAAAAGGATGAAGGGGAGGGAGGGAAGAAATCCAGATAAGGGAACTCCCAGCACATGGATTCACTAAAGGAGAAAAGTTTGCCTTTTAGGCAATATGAGGCTGAGATATTACCATGAGTGGTGAACCAAACCTACTGGTAGCAGTAAGTGAACCTGGAAATCATTTTTGGAAGATATGGCCCCATTCGGATTTAAGCTCTGTCCTCTAGTTCTTCCTCCATGACCTATCTTTCCCTGTGCAACCCTTTTACTCAACTCCTTTAAGTGTTCAAATTAACATCTTCTTCTTCTAGGTCTACCACCTCTTTCCTACTCCTCCTCATTCCTGTACCTCCCAGAACTCCTTCCACTTGCAGGACAGAAGAGCAAAATAAATGGCCAATAGCCAACATGTTCTATCACACAGACACACACACACATGCACATACACACATACCACCCTTATCTATATTCAACTGTAAAAATTGTGAATACTTAAGTTTACCAAGTGAATCACGAAAAATGCTATCATAGAACAAGAAGGCTCTTTTCTCTCACAAAATGTCTCCTTCCTCATGGGGGCTTGTGAGAAGTCACCCACTACCACTGAGTTGACAAGCTCCAGATATCACCAGCCCCCCCCACTGAGCTGGCTGCTGCTTATAATCACACCTCCCCTGTAAAACTTCCTCCCTGCTCTGCCCTCCAGGCTTTCCCCTCACCAAGAGCCTTTCTAGAGCTCTTCAGCTAAATCCCAGGCCAGCAGACAGTGCTTCTGCCTCAGCCAATTTGAAAGCGTGCTGCCTGTGAGATTTCCTAAGACACTCTCAGCTGCTGCATTAATACTGCATGAGCCTTCCTCTGGAGGCCTAATAATAGCACGTTTCATCTGTGAGCCACTTTATAAACATTAAGTGATTAAGCCACCCTCTATCTTCTCAAGCTCTGAGCTTTGGCATAGTGGACTTCACTCTTCACTGTCCTCAAGTTACTCCAGCTGGGAAAAGAAAAAAGAAAAAGAAAAAAAAAAAAAAAACAAAAACAACCCCTGAAACCTGAAAGATCTTTCCTGGATATTTTACACCAAGACATTAAGACCAAAGGCCTTGCAGTAACAACCCCTACTTGGGTAATAGGATGGAGGGGGAAGTTACTTAAATCCATCTTCCTTTTAAAAGAGACTGAATTGAGGTTCTCATCTCCCAAAGCTAGATTAGTAGAGAGAAGAACTTGACTCCATGGTCTAGAACATGGTCATTGAACTAGAGCACATGGCACCAAATCCAGACTGCCATCTATTTTTATAAATAAAGTTTTACTGGAAGACAGTCATGCTCATTCATTTGCTTGCTATCTATCTATGGCTACTTCTGCACTGCATTATCAATTGAGCAGTTGTGATGGAAACCAAATGACCCACAAAGCCAAAAAATACTTACCATCTAGGCTTATAAAAAATTTTGGTTGACCCCTGCAGGGTCTAAGGAACTTCAAGCTTATTCTTATCCTGTATATTCCCTAAATATCTTTTTTTTTTAAGATTTAATTTATTTATTTGACAGAGATCACAAGTAGACAGAGAGAGAGAGAGAGACAGAGAGAAGCAGGCTCTCTGCTGAGCAGAGAGTGACTCGGGGCTCAATCCCAGGACCCGGGATCCTGAGTTGAGCCGAAGGCAGAGGCTTTAACCCACTGAGCCACCCAGGCGCCCCGCTAAATATCTTTAATCAATTCTCTTTCCCTTTCTGGGCTTCAGTTTGTACATCTACAGACTGAATAACCTCTAAACTAACCGAGCCATCACCTTGGGCTTATTCTCTCATTGTTCTCTAAGTATTAGCATCTCATATGTTAGCTTTGACTCATTATTACAGCTGACTTGAGAGCAGGAATAGAGTTGTGTGTGTCTCATAAATCATTGTAGGCAGGAGGCTCTATGCTGAGCCCTAAATCCATCTGTGAAGTGTAACTGTACTGACTTGAATCATATAGTTTGTTTTTTGTTTGTTTGTTTACAGAGAGATCTCACAGAATGAAGTCTTGGAAGTGATAGAGGCAAATGTGTTCTCCAACCTGCCCAAATTACATGAAATGTAAGCAAGATCCTGTGGGGTTTGTTCATGGTCTTTGGCAATAGCCTTAAATTTTGTGTATATCCCTGGGAGGCCCTATCTCTGCTCAATCTTCTCATCTCTGAAATTCATTTTAAGGGGTGCCTGTGTGGCTCCGTCAGTTGAGCGTCAGCCTTTGGCTCAGGACATGATCTTAGGATCCTGGGATGGAGCCCCTCATTGGGCTTCCTGCTCAGCAGGGAGTCTGCTTCTCCTTTTCCCTATGCCCCTCTCCCTGCTCATGCACTCACGTGCTCTCTCGCTCTATCTCTGTCTCAAATGAATAAATAAGGAAAAAAAAAAAGAAATTCATTTTAAGATGTCAAAGTCAACCCGAAGGCACTGTCATAGGTCTCTCTGCCTGGTGACTCGGATACCAACCTAGAGACTAGTCTTGTCATGTTCCCTCCCTCCCAGATTTTTTTTTCAATAGACCCAAGAACCTTGTTGGGTAACTTAAGATACCTCTATCTCATCTTCTTATTTAAAATTATTCCAGAGTCAGGGGCACCTGGGTGGCTCAGTGGTTAAGCCTCTGCCTTCAGCTCAGGTCATGATCTCAGGGTCCTGGGATCGAGCCCCGCATTGGGCTCTCTGCTCGGCGGAGAGCCTGCTTCCCCCTCTTTCTCTGCCTGCCTCTCTGCCTACTTGTGATCTTGTGATATCTCTCTCTCTCTGTGTCAAATAAATAAATAAATAATCTTTAAAAAATAAAAATAAAAAATAATAAATAAATAAATAAAATAAAATAATTCCAAAGTCAAAGTCCAAAATAAATCCCACATGATGTAGTTAAAGATAGGCAATCCTCACTTGAATACCAGTTGATGCCATAGATCTCCATGAAACCTTGGCCAAGATACAGAATCATTCCAAGACTTGGTTTTCTTATCTGTAAAATGAGAATAATAATGAAAGTACATGGCACAGGATCACTGTGACGAATAAAGGAGATAAATATAAATTAGATCTAACACATCAACTGCCATAGAAGAAGTATGTCATAACAATCCTTGGTTCCTCATTATAACCCAGTTTTCTTTCTCTTTTGACATTCTCATTTTACACACCTGTCAATATTCATACAGATACAGTTCTGTTTCATACAGGCCTATAATTACAATAAATCAATTCAGAGAATCATAAAATATCAAGGCCAGGGATGCCTGGGTGGCTCAGTCAGTTAAGTGTCTGCCTTCAGCTCAGGTCATGATATTAGGGTCCTAGGATCAAGTCCTGCTCGGCAGGGAGCCTGCTTCTCCCTCTGCCTGCTCTGCACCCTGCTTGTGCACGCTCGCTCGCTCAATCTCTCTCTCTCTCTCTCTCTCTCATTCTCATTCTGTTAAATAGATAAATAAACTTAAAAAAATCAAGGCCAGAAGAGACTGGAGACTATCTGGTCCCAATTTTTCCGGAGTATATTCTGTTCATCATCGAACACTCAGGAAATTATTGAGTGTTGTTTAAAAAAGGTAAATGATAGTATGGTCAAATAAGATTGGGAAACACTGGGCAAATAAAGTTAGATGCACTTACTGTAGGAAAACTCAGAACCTATAATACGCAAATATATACTTAGAATCTCCAAGGAGGATATTTTATTAAGGGTTCTCAACCAATATCACTGGAAAGGTTTCTTCTGTGGGGCATGTATTAGTATCTCACAACACTTCCACGGAAATGGTTAGGAAAGCCACTGAACCATTTTCTTAACATTACAGACGAGGATGAAAGACACAGAGAAGTTCCAAGACTTATCTAAAGTTACCCAGCCAAATCCACAACAGGATAAGGACTTGAAAACAAATCCCAATTCTGGTATTTTTTTTAAACCTCTTTTTTAAGCTTGCCAAGTAGATGTACATATACACATTCACATTATTCATATTATTTATTTAGAAATGACACTTGGTTTGTCCATACTGGCAGACTGCCCCTTCCCTTTTCCTTCCTTCTACGTACTCTGCCTCCCACCTGCATTATTCCTCAGGGCCATTAAACCTCTTCAACTGATGCCCTCCCTCATTCTCCCCCTGTCCTCCTGTTCCTTCCTTTCTTCTCTGTTTGGTCTCACCTTATCCTAGCTGGAAAAAGAGAGTTGACCAGGATCTCAGACCCACAGGTCATGTCACAGAAATGAACCAAAGGGCAGCCAGCTCTGTGGGCAGGGTCAAGCAAACATCCCCTCTGTTGTTCAGCGGGCCGTGGAGCTAATGGAATGGCTCTTTCATCTCTTCCCTGCACGGAGAGGTGCTCGCCCCCATGTAGCACTGACTGTACTTAAAATAATTAATTACCTGGTACTTGGATCTGGGTAGCTACAGGTTATTGCAATATAAAAGCTAATGAAACAGGGAGGAAGTAATTAACACAGAGCACCTCTGCAAATATACATTGATCCAGCAAGATGAGGAAAGGGCAGTCTCTCTCTGCGGGCATCCAAATGTGAACATGCTCACCTCCAGACTACTGATCAGGACACAGCCAAAGCCAACAAGGGCAGAAGACCCCACTCCTCAGGAGCTGTGAGAGTAGCCTCAGTCTACAGCATACAGGGAATCACCAGCTCATTCCCAGCTACTGTCTGCTGCAGTTTCTTAGTTAAAATCAGAGATGTCCACTGCTTTTCACCTGATCTTTGTTTTCCTTTGCCTCTTTACTTTTTCCCTAATCTCCTTTTGCCCTTCACCCTCCCTTCCATCTTCTTTTCACCTTCTTTTGTTGGTTTCCATCTCCCGCTCTCTTGTCTCCAGACCAGACAAAATCTCTTTTCCCATGCTAGTCTCATTACTGCCCTCTTAGTCGCCGCAGAGGAAACAAGAGGATTTCTAAAACACACTTACCAGTTATGGATGTGGTGTCCTGGGTGAAAAGGACACACTCTCAACCAGTGCTTTGTTAGGCTATCACTAACAGGTGCCAAGAGAACATTAGTTATGAGAGCCAAGTGGGTTAATATTCAGTTTGCACAGTCTCAACTCTTCATTAAAATGCTGGATGGATAGAGGGATGGGTAGGTGAATGGATAAACCCTTTGCATAACGTGAAAAATACTACAGCATTCCTCAGGGTTGAGTTCATGTACATGTTCTTTCCTGTTTTGCAGTAGAATTGAAAAGGCCAACAATCTGCTATACATCGACCCAGATGCCTTCCAGAGCCTTCCCAACCTCCGATATTTGTAAGAACTCTTATACTCTGGTGACCCCTCTATAAACAAATTGTGTATTCCTGTTTTAGCAAAACATCCACCTGCTACTCAGAGGAGTAACTGCTTTTTTTAAATAGGTGTGGTTTAATGTAGAAGGGGGGAGACACTTGCTGGTGGGTTTTATTTAAGTTTAGTAAGTGAGTTCTACTATGATAACTGCATTTTTGTTTTCACTTACTAAAACAGACATCATAAGACATGTCACTTGCATAAATGGAATTGTCACATGGACTTCTTGCAGAACTCAGTCATAATTTAGTGTTAATAAGATGCAGCCAGAATTTGTGCTAGCATTTAGCTTGTGACCTTGACCTCAAAGACATCTCATTTGTTCTGCGTGTACGCATTTTTACTTTGATACATTATAGTGCTTTATTTTGTAAGTTCTAGTTAATAATAGACATGGTATTTTATCAGCAGAGAGATTCCTAGTGTTTGAGCTCCATCCTTGGAGCCTGCCCCATTAGCAAAAACACTGTTTTTCCATTCAAATGGCTTCCAAAATAGCTGAGTGCTTGACAGACCCCAGAGTGCTAGGATAGAACCCCATAAAACACCACTGTAAGAACTTGGGCTAGAAGTCACACTAAGCCCATTTACTAGCTACTTATCACAGGCTAGAACTTAAATCTCTCACAGCTTTTTCCCTGTCACAAGAATGGAAATAATAATAATGATAGATGCGTATTGGTTACCTATTAACATAGTAATGCATAACCACCACCACCCCCAAAAGAGAGTTTTAAAGCAACATCTCTTTATTATCTCACATCTATAAGTTGATCTGTGGAATGGGTCTGCTGACCTGGACTGTTTGCCTGACCTCAGCTAGGCTCACTTAAAAGTAACTACGTCGGGTGGCTCAGGGGGTTAAAGCCTCCGCCTTCAGCTCAGGTCATGATCTCAGGGTCCTGGGATTGAGCCCCCCATTGGGCTCTCTGCTCGGTGGGGAGCCTGCTTCCCCCCCTCTCTCTCTGCCTGCCTGTGATCTCTGTCTGTCAAATCAATAAATAAAATCTTAAAAAAAAAAAAAAAAGTAACTGCATGTAGGTGGCAGGTCAGCTGGGGACTGGCTGCTGTGGACTATCCCAGGTGAGAGGACAGGTCTCCACCAAGTGGTGCTCATTTCCAGCAAAGGCTAACATAGGCTTGCTCTGATGGCAGTCCTGGGGGTTCCAACACAGACAGCTCAAACTTGCAAGCCTCTTGAGACCCACACCCTGAATTATCACATTGTCTCTTCTGGAACATTTTATTAACCAAAGGAACTCATGGGGCCAGCCTTGATTCAAGAGGTAAAGAAGCACACTCCCTTTTTTTAATGGGAAAAACTGCAAAGTCACAAAATAAGATGTGTGGATACAAGGAAGCACAGGGAATTGAGGCCATCTTTGCAACCAGTTTAAAGTATGTAAGAAGTTCCTACCCACTGCCTGTCACATGGTAAATGCTCATATTAGTACTAGTTGCTAGTGATACTCTGACCCTAAATTTTGATCCACGATAACTGGAGTTAGTAGGTCCAATGAGCAACACTGGGCCATCATATACCTCAGCTCTGATGGACTAAGGGAATAAAAGATTGATTTAACAGAACAGAATCTATAGGACATGGAATTTCCTCTCCCTGACAGGAGCTGAGAAGGGATCTGAGAAAGAGTCAAGGTTGCTCACTCCTGAGTTAAAGTCTTAGGCAGGACCGGCTTCACTGGCATGCTGTCCATGCAGTCACGCAGGGCTCCATCTCGAAAGCACTCCACATCTAGAGGGCCTCCCACTAGGTTTGATTCCTTGCTGCCACTGTCGTGAAATGCTTAAACTTTTTTTTTGTTTTAAATACAAAGGGTCCTGTGTTTTCTTTTTGCACTGTGCCCCACAAATGTAGTCACTCAGGCTCTGAAGTCAGGGTGATGACCTCTTCTAGTTTCAGACCTGGGAGTCTTGGCTCCCTAAATGCACTTTGCTATACTGTCTGCAGAAACTAACCTGGATTAGGCATATAACAGTAGAGGAAATATAGATTAACAGAGAAGGCGTGGGCCTAGAATTAAAAAAACTGACTTCTGACTTCATCCTCACTCCACCATTTACTCTTGGGCCAATTGCTGGACTTCTGAGATGTACTTGTATAGGACCCTCAAGTGAAATTTATATGTGAAAATATTATACAAACCATGAAGTGTTCAAAAACATTAATAAATGTACTGAGTATTTTGTAGGATGATTATTTCTGACCAATCCAAGTCTAACAGTCCACTCTCAGGAAAAGTCCACTAAGGGCTGAACAATAGTGGCCACTGAGACTTTCAGCTTTTGCTTACACCGGTTGTCATGAATTCAAAAAGAGGTTTGAGAAATGCCTTTACATTTCATGGAACAAGATAAAAAAGAAAAGAAAAAAAAACTATATATGATGGCAGAAGGACCTGATTCCCATGGGATACTGATATTTATTAGGTAGACAGCAAAGTACCTTCTCTAAGCTTCAGTTTCCTTATCTGTAAATAGGGTGGGTTGTGAAAAACAATTAAGATTATACCTGTAAAAAACATCTTGCAAGTTGTTTCTCAGTATACAAACTATAACTATACAAACAGCGGTGCCTGAGTGGCACAGTTGATTAAGCATCTGACTCTTGATTTTGGCTCAAGTCATGATTTCAGGATTGTGAGATCAAATCCTGCATTGGACTCTGCACTGGGCATTGGAGCCTGTTTAAGATTCTCTCCCTCCCTCTGCCTGTCTCCCTTTCCACTCACATGCACATGCTTTCTCTCAAAAAGAAAAAAAAATTACACAAACATAAAATTATTAGTGCCTGTTACCCAGTTGGCTTATTTCATTCCTTCTTTTCTTCTTTCCCTCCCAACTGCCATCTTCCCTTCTTTCTCTCCCTTTCCTGTTAGAAAAAGTCTGAGTGGAATATGGTGGTCACAGAGCCTTCAACAACAGAATAAAATCACATTAGGACATGCAAAGGAATCCACAGGAGGACTGCCACTCACATGCATGTAATGAAAAGCATTCCTGCAGAGGATAGGTCCAAAAAGAAAACCACCCCTTCACATGTCTATTCCTTAATGCTTGATAATAACAGCGTGAATAGTAGCCAGAATGGTGGACTGGAAGCAGGTGAATAAGGGATGAGGAATCATCACAAAGTTTGAAGTCAAGAGATCCAGAATTAGACTCAATATTGGCCTATACCTTATGGTCAACACCATTCGCTCTTATAAATAAGGACCCTCAGCCCTCCCTCTAGGTGGTGAGAGCTAGGAAGGAACTTAGGAGAATGTGGGCATGGAAGGCACAGCTCCAGTAGGAAGGAATGGGAACTTAGGCAAAAAAGAAGGGCCAGGCTGTTACTGTGATTCTGGAAGAAGCTAAAATCTATGCCATCAGTCATCAAATCCAGCACCCCCCCCACCCCATGTCTTTTCCTCACTTTGAAATGTTGAGTGGTCCCCACTCTCACCTGGCTCCCCCATCAAGTCCAGACAAAGCTGTAGGTGACTGATTCCAGCCACATCCCTTATAAGAGCAGGTTATTGTTCTCAGAGCATTTGAGAAAAGAACTTGTCAACAGTTTGGACAATGACAAGTCATTGTCAAAGTAGTCTCCTTGATTACTCTGAGATTACTCTAGTGTTGTAAGGATCTAAGGATGTTGTCATGGTGACAAAAATGGGCACAATGGAAATTATACAATTGCTTCTTTTATCAGTTAGGTGTCCCGCAGAGCCAACTACGCCTGCCATTGTCAATGCTAGGAAAATACGGTCAGATTTTCCTTCTGAAATGCTCAAGTTCAGGATGAGATTTCAGCCTGAGCCTGTTAGCTCAAGGAGGGCAAGAACCTCCTCTTCGCTGAGGGCCTGATCATTAAGGAGGTGATGTTTTCATACTGCTCACCTCCTTTCCTCATTCCTCTAACCTGTTCACTGTGTTTTCTCCTACAAGAAGCCCAGGGCTTTTCCCTCAGCAAGACTATTCCTTGATCCATCAGGGTACATCAATACGTTCAGGGCTTGATGTTCTTCTTTCTAGAGGAATTTCTGTTTTTAAAAGAGAGGCCTAGACAAGGCAATGTGAAACCCAAGGATTGATAATGATGGACTTCAGGTATGGAGGTTTCTGGAGAGAGAAATAAGTCCCAAAGGATCCACTCCAATAGCACCTAGGCAACCATACTCAACCCACATGCAGAGTCTCTGAATTGTTTTTTTCATAGGATAGAGCTTCTCATGAAGTAGGTGTGTCCTCGCCTCATTAATTTTTTTTTAAAGATTTATTTGACGGGACGAGAGAGACAGTGAGAGAGGGAGCACAAGCAGGGGGAGTGGGAGAGGAAGAAGCAGGCTTCCCACTGAGCAGAGAGCCCAATGTGGGGCTATATCCCAAAACCCTGCGATCATGACCTGAGCTGAAGGCATACACTTAATGACTGAGCCACCCGGGCACCCCTCACCTCATTAATTTTTAAATAAGCCATGTCGGTCATCACCAGAAGTCAAATGTACAGACAAGTCCAGCGAGGGGTCGGAGACAAGTCTCAGAAGAGCTGTGTGAAGCTCAGACTTGATGCCTTCCTCAGTGCTAGCACAGCTCCCACTTCCCCCGACAGTGATGGCGTATCCTTTTAGGGCTTAGTTTCTTTCTTTTTTTTTTTTTTTTTAAAGATTTTATTTATTTATTTGTCAGAGAGAAAGAGAGAGTGAGTGAGCACAGGCAGACAGGGTGGCAGGCGGAGGCAGAGAGAGAAGGAGGCTCCCGGCTGAGCAAGGAGCCCAATGTGGGACTCGATCCCAGGACACCAGCATCATGACCTGAGCCGAAGGCAGCGGCTTAACCAACTGAGCCCCCCAGGCATCCCTAGAGCTTAGTTTCTTCATCCACATAATGGACATAATATGCTTAATGAGGTAAATGAGAAGAGGAAACTGGACTACACATCCTCTAAGATCTCTTCT